AAAAAAAAAAATTAAAATAAAAAGGGCTGGGGATGGGGCTCAGTGGTAAAGTGCCCCTGTCTTCAATTGCCAGTACCACCCTCCCCAAAGTCAAAAGGATTTTCCATTTGGAAATTTCTCCCAAAATAATTTATAAGACTGCCATAAAGAAAAGCATTGACACTCAATATTTTTTAATTTTAATTGACAAAGAGACTAGTCTTTATTTTTAATAGTCTTTATTAAATTTAGTCTTTATTAAATTTTTCTATTTGTTTTTTCCATATTTTTTATTGGTGCATTATACGTAATGGTGGGATTCCTTGTTACATATTAATAAATGGACATAATATAATAATATAATTTGGCCATTACCATTGAGATAATATGTTTTTTAAAGCATAACTTTTGCATAACAAAAGCTTATGGGAATTTCACATAAGCTTGTGGGAATTTCACCAAGCATTTAAGATGGCAATAAAATAAAGAAAGAAAATTCTGGGAGTGTGGATTATCATAACTGAGACTGAGAGCCACAGGTGCTCTCAACACACTAGTGGCCAGAACTAAAGTGGGTTCCCAACAGATAAAAGCAAGTACTTTCAAAGAAGTAAGCAATACAAAAGTATGTTTAAAACAATGGTCTTTCCTCTTTAGAGATAGCCAGTGAGAGTTAATAGTCCTCAGTTTTTCTTTAACTTTGAAAAACAATTATAATGGGTTTAAATTCATTTGGTTAGAACCACTAAATGGAAATAAATAAGTATTTTTAAATATTTTATCTTATCTAGTCTCACTTTGCCATTTCTTTCAGCATAGGAGAGTTATTAAGGCATAAACAAAATTTTTAGTAGTTGCAATAACTTTATTTTAACTTAATATCATATTAAAGTATCATCTGGGCTTAGTGTAACATGGCATGTACAGATAGTTCTTAAATTTTATTAACTGATACAATCACAGGCACACTATTAATGTAAAGGACTGCCATATCCACTAGAATGGTTTTAATATATATTTGATTTAGAAACTGAGGAGCTGCAGATTGCCTACATAGAATGCCAAACCAGGCCATTAAACTGGTAACCAAACCAGTAAGAACAAGGAAAAACAGCAATCAGCACACTCTTCCCCTTATAGCTCATTCTACTAAAAATAATACAAGCCTTCTGTGCCATGGGCAACACTTTGCCTACCAGATGATGCTGATGTAATAATATCTAGAGCTAAGCACCTGGAGGAAGCAGAGAATGAGATTTTGCTTTAGATTACTTGAATGTTTGTGTGTGTGTGTGTGTGTATGTGTGTGTGTGTGTGTTTGTGTGTGTTTTAACCATAAAGCTACTAACAGATAGTTTAATGATTTCGGTTCTTATGTTGCCTGTGGGGATTTTGCATTGTTCTCCCAGCCACCAATAACAACAGATTTGCAAAATTGGCAGCCTGCCTAAATAAGCTATGTAAAGTCTGCAAACTCTGCTTACTATACTATGTACMCAGTGGATATTAGATTAAAAACTATGCCCATTCTCAAAACATGCTCATGACAATTTTCTAAGGAAAAAAAAACTTTTTGGATTTGCCTTGTCATAAATGATTAATAACAGTTATTACTTGAAAACTTTCTCTTTATAATATGGCTATAACATCTGCAACAATAGTCTCCCCAGCCCCTTTTTAAAACCATAAAGTATCCTATACCACTATTTAGATAAATCAAGACATTGAAGAGGGCCAGAAATAAAGCTCAGTGTTCTAGAGAAAATCCTACTTCCATAAATCCTTTTCTATTTCTTTTTTTGTGGTATTAGGAAGAGAACCCAGGAGCATTCTCTGAGCTGCACTCTCCAGCACTGTTCCTCATCCACCTCTCCCTTCAGAAAGAAAGATGGGCTCTCACTAATTGTCCAGGCTGCCCTTGAACTCACAATCCTCCTGCCTCAGCCTCCTCCATTACTGGAATTACAGGTTTGTGCCCTGGTCTGGCTATAAATCCTTTCATTTTCTTCTTTTTTAAAAATACATTTTATTTAGTTGCTGATGGTCACAATACCTTTATTTTATTCATTTTCACGTGGTGCTGATAAATAAGTGAGATCCTATCTCAAAATTACAAATAAAGGCCTGGAAATATAGCTCAATAGTAGAGAAACACAGGCATAATCCCCAGTGCTAGGGAAGGAGGTGGGGGACAGAAAATGAGGATGTTCAAGGAATGGGATATTTTAGGAATTAAGTGTGATATTTTTTTACTGGGGTGAAGCTGATCAAATGAAATATACCTAAATCACCTGATCAAAAGGATTCTTTTTTTTTTTTTTTAAAGAGAGAGTGAGAGAGGAGAGAGAGAGAGAGAGAATTTTAATATTTATTTTTTAGTTCTCGGCGGACACAACATTTTTGTTGGTATGTGGTGCTGAGGATCGAACCCGGGCCGCACGCATGCCAGGCGAGCGCGCTACCGCTTGAGCCACATCCCCAGCCCCTCAAAAGGATTTCAAAGAGGTTCAGTTTCACTCATTGTTTAAAGCTATTATTTCACTCATCTCTTAGAAAGTTTACATTGAGAATTCACATCCCCCCATCAAAAAGTTCTCAAACTAAAGGTCTGCATARAAATTAAGATTATATAATTATAGGAAATTAAAAATTTCAATGTTTATGAAAACTGGATAAAAATCACCATCCAGAGAAACACATTAGTTTAAGGGGACACACAGGACAGAAGAGGGTCCTGAAAAAATGACATTTCTCTTAAGAGCTCTCGAAGTATAATTACTTAAAATCAGTTAAGAAAAGTGATTTAGCTCTCATTGATTTAGCTCTCATGGAGATCAACTGGCTTTTACTATACAAAATTCAGAGAACAACACAGAGATGCACAGACAAGATGCTGAGCTCATAAACTTGACCAACCTTTTGCTGGGGTGATGAAGAATGCTTAACATTGCAAAAAGATAAAGTTGTCTGTGGAATAAACTCTTACACAGTTATTACAGAAGATAAGCAATATAAATTCCACAATTAGGGCACTCAGGCTTGAAATACCCTACTATGGATCATGAATAATGATGTGAATCTTGAATAATAAATATTAAGCGCAGATGATAAAAGTAACAATCACATTGAAAAATTTTATTAGTCTTTCTTATGAAACATCTTATTTGATCTCCACAGTCCCTTGAAATGAGGCAGATGTTATCTGCAACATAAGCAACAATCTGGACCATTTAGCTCTTATTTAAAAAATAATACAACTGTATTTCTTCTCTGCCTAGACACCTAAACTGTTAGAATATTTTTAAAAGCTTACAAATTGAATGTGCTGGTGCATGCCCATAATCCCAGTAAAGCCAGAGGATGAGGCAGGAAGATCAAAGTTCAAGGCCAATCTGGGCAATTTAGTGACACTCTATTTCAAAATAAAAATAAAAAGGTCTGGGGTTGTATCTCAGTGGTAGAGCATCCCTCCTTTAAATCCCTAGTACTGCCCAAAAAACTAAAAAAATAAAAATTTAAAACTCTAGAATTGGTTAATACTAATGTTTCTCTTTGAGAGTGATCAAGTCTCTAGATTTTGTTGCTTTATCAGATATAATGAATACAAAAGAAGGGTTATAGCCCTTCTAAAAACAGATTAATACAAAAACCAAAATTTGTTAAATTCACACAACATGCAAAAGGGAGATGGTCCTAAATTTGCCCTTTGTGTATAAGGCTCGAAATTTATTTACAAAATCATTGGCTATGTCCTTTTCAAATCATTGGGACACCTAAAAAGGCCTTGGTTCTTAGCATATTTCTTCAAGTTAAACATAACTAAATTAGTGAGAGCAACATCCTGCTTCATTCAACAATACAAAGCTATCTCTAATCCTATTTGAAACTAGTTAGGATATGAATTTTCTTTTCTGCTTTCACTTTAGAAATTCAGAAACTATATGATAAGTTCAGAAATTATGTGACAGCATCTATATCGATCTTCTTTAGCCCTAAGGCAGTTTAACACATGGTAACTAAATAATGCAATTTTACTGGAAAGGTGTGCGAGAAATGATCTGTAAAAGTTTGAGTCCCTCAATTACTTCCAAGGTCCAAAAGCTCTTTTGAAACAGACCAACAACTTTAATCATGTGGCTTTGGGCAGTAGTTTCTCAGTGTAAGTTTAGAAAAATTGTCCAGTTTCCGAAGTAAGCACAGGTGAAAAAGCTGAATAGCAGAGGCRGGGRTTGTGGCTCAGTGGTAAAGCACTTGCCTAGCATGTGTGAGGCACTGGATTCAATCCTTAGCACCACATAAAAATTAATAAATAAAAAAGGGTATTGTGTCCATCTACAACTAAAAAAATMAAAAAATAAGCTGAATAGCAATAGTTTAGGAGGGGGAAAGCCACTATAGATTTATCGAAAAGAAATCTTGACTGGAGCACATCACTGCCTCACCATTCCTGTTCATCTTCATTGTGCAGATTTACTCTTCAGTTAACCTAGTTAAGCATGATTTCAAGAAAGCCAAAGGTGACAGCTCTCCCTACTTGTTTCCATTTCTGCTCTATTGACTTGAAAGGAACACAAGTGTGGATAAAACCACAGAAACTTATCATTAATAATGAAAACACAAATATACCTTTATACCCTGAAAGTAGGTCATTAACCTTTGAGGCCATAACATCCAGAATATTCATACTACTTTTTAAGGCTATATTCTCCAAGGATCAGAAATAATCACAAAAACGATATTAATTTAAAATCAGAGAAATATCTCATGCCTCTTTTATTTTGATTGAATCGAGGGCCTTGTACATGCTAAGCACTCACTTTACCACAGAGCTACACCCCAGCCCCTAATGCTTCTCAAAAAAAAAAAAAAAAAAAAAAATTAAAGAGAGAGTGAGAGAGGAGAGAGAGAGAGAGAAAATTTTTTAATATTTTTTAGTTCTCGGCGGACACAACATCTTTGTTGGTATGTGGTGCTGAGGATCGAACCCTGGCCGCATGCACGCCAGGCGAGCGCGCTACCGCTTGAGCCACATCCCYAGCCCCTAAACAACTAATTTTAGAGTACAGAAAAAAGGGAAAAACTACTCATTCTATAAGTTAGACRTAAGGTAGACAAGGACATCACTAAAGATTCAACAAATATTTGAGACAAATGCAAAACATTAAATATTAGTAAACCAAATCTAGCAGGATATTAAATAAATACAAAGAGAGTGTAGCTCATGATTCAACTTTAGCAACTCAATGTCAGTACGTTACTATAAAAGGGAAAATATTATTTTAATAAATGTCAGGAGTATTTAATAAAATTCAAAAACTATATCAAATTTAGAATCTTTGTAAATTAGCAACGGTATAAAATGCCCTCAACTTGACAAATGATCTCTACCATGAAGTATACTTATTTACAAAACAAAAACAAGAGAACAAGACAAAGCTCATTTGGTAGAGTGCTTGCCTTGTATGCATTAAGGCCTTGGGTTCAATCCCAGCACCACAAAAAAAAAAAAAAAAAAAAAGAAAGAAAGAAAGAAAAAATATATATTATATATATATGATTTATAGTCAAGTAAGAGCTCAGCAAGGTGGTCTGATAAAAAAGCAAATGTGAAAAGCCACATTGGCAATGGCTTAATTAGAAAATGGTATGAATCATTCCCTAACCCTAACAACAAAAACTTTATAAAATGAAAATGTCCATGAATATACCGAATACAGAATGTATTTCCTACCATGTGAGGAAAACTAGAAAAAGTTAAATGAAGGACATTGAAAAAGCAATGAATAAAATACACACCATGTTTCTCAGTGGGAAGGCTCATTTCATAAAGCTGTTAATTCTTTCCAAAATGCATTCAGTAAAATATCAATCAAAATTTCAATAGGATTTTTAAAAGTCAAGCTGATTCTAAGACTTACCTAGAAAATAAAAATAGCTAAGACATTAAAACAACAACAACAATGATGTAGCTCTTGCCATTAAAAGGTATCAAAATATCTACTAAATCTGTAAGTAAAAATGGCATGATATTGCTGTTTGTTTGTTTAGTAGTGGTACTGAACAACTGGCACTCTACCACAGAGCTACATCCCCAGTCCTTTTTATTTTTGAGTGAGGGTCTCCCTAAGTTGCTTGTTAAGTTGCTGAGGTTGGCCTGGAATTAGCACCCTCCTGARTCACTGGTATTACAGATATGCACCACTAAGCCCAGTGTGGTATTGGTATATAAACAGAAAAAATCAGCAACATAATTTGAGGATACAAAAACAGATACCGAATATCTAAAAGAAATTTTTTTCTTTTTTTTTTTTAACAGGGAAAAGGATATTGGAAATTTAACCAAGGGGTGCTCTACCACTGAGCTACATCTCCAGCCCTTTTATGAGATAGGGTCTTGCTAAAGTGCTCAGGCTAGCCTCAAACTTGTGATCCTTCTCCTACCTTTGGAATCCCTCTGATTATGGTCATGTGCCATAGCAACCATTTATAAGAATTTAATATATAATATATATGGTATTTAAAATTAGTGAAGTAAAAATAGATTAAAATACATGGTATTTGAATAACTTACAAACTATTTTGGAAAAAAATGTTAAGTTCAATTCGTACCTAACAGTATAAATAAAAATAATTTACAGATGTTTTAAAGAGCAAATATTTTAAAATGTAAATGTAAYTGAAAAAATATATAATACTACATTCATAATCCTGGGAGTGGATAAGGATTTTTTAAAGCAAGATACAAAACTCTGAAACCATAAGCTAAAATACTAACAGATTTGACTATACAAAAATTTGAAACTTTTAAATGAAATGCTGGGTTAAAATGCAAGCAAAAAGCGGCTGGAGTTGTAATTCAGTGGTAGAGAGCTTGCCTAGCATGAGTGAGGCACTGGGGTTGATCCTCAGCATCACATAAAAATAAATACATAAAAAAAAAAGGTATTGTGTCTATCTACAAC